AATGGAGATTTCTCTTACAAGTGTAAATGTCTTTTATTTACAAAGCATAAGTTCTACTTGGTTTTCACAGTTCCTCCCACGTCTGCTGTTTCTCAAAAGATAAGCAGCCCAAAATAATGGTTATGCCAAAGAGACATACTTTGGGGTGGCAAATTCTGCTCCCCTGTAAGGTGTGAGTCACGGGTGAACAAAGCAACCGGGTCTGTGCCTTCGAGAACCCATCGGCCTGACGGAGAAGCTTGTCTTCCCGTCTGAGATGGAGGAGTCAGGGAAAGCTCCCTGGGCTGCAACACCGAGGACAGCAGGAATGGGCACGGGAGGAGCTGGGGAGGTAGGGGGGGGGCAGATTCTGTCTAGGGCCAGAAGGGGTGACCACGGAGCAGGAATGGCAGGAAAGCAAGCATGGTCAGCGGAGAGGCAGCGGTGAGGAGGGAGGCGGGATGGAGAAACCTTAGCTCTGTAACCAGACTGACGACAACCACCAGGATGCTGGGCGGTGACCATCCATCTGCTGGTGGTCTCTCTAGCTTCACTTCGGGCCGATCTGAAACTTGAGCGCAGAGGAAGAAGTCAACAATGCAGTGTCCCCGAGTCTGCAGTCGTCAAGGTCTCACGAGGAGCCTGCCTCAGCCTGTGTGGCCCCAATAACCTGCAGGCCCTGACACTGCCTGTGTTGAGTCCAAAAGGCCCAAGCGTTTCGCCACAGAAGACCTCAGTCCCCCTCCGCCACGAGAGCTGCTCAAGATGTTGCAGAAGAGAAACACCTCTCAGGAGGTTAGGTGATGTTAAAGCACATTCCCCAGGAAACTGCCTTCATTCAGAATGGAGCTCTGGAAGCCAACAACACAGCCCCCTCCATACCGGCCAGGACTGAAGGACTTCCTCAGCCAAGTCCTCCAGGACCAGGCCCTGGGGTGGAGCAGGGACTCGCCAAGGGGAAGGTAAGGGCAGGAGGGGGATAGGAGAAATGTGGGCACCCTGAGCCCCCAGCTGTCATTCCCCCAGGGGACACTTCCCAAGCCAGGCTGGTTTGCCATCATCACCCAGTTTCTTTTCCTCTAAGCACCCTAAAGATCACCGCTTCCAATCAGCTCCACCAGGAAAGAGCCACCCCACAGCTATTCCTTCCTTCCATGTTCAGGTCGTTGAACGAGAGCATGGTTTCCAGTGCTTCTGAGGTCCTTCGCGCCGGCAGAGGCGGGAAGCCCACAGGGCTGGCTCTCCAGCTAGCTCCTCCACCGACCTCTTCTCAGTTACATTCGTAGGAAAATAATGGTGGAACTGGTATGTCTTTGGGCATCAAAAGGCTAAAGGATTCACTGCATCATTATTTGTGAGAAAGAAGACATGAGTCGAGCCATATTAAAATAGAGCTGGAGCACCCATTTCAGAGGAACTGCTGTGCATGTCTTGTTATCTCCCAAATGGACCAAACCGCCAACATTCCATGAAGTCAGTAAAAACGAAGACATCCTGTCTGTAAGGACTGATGAAATTGGACTTTGCCAATGACCGAATCACCAAGCTATCTATGAAGTACAATCCTAGCCTTACCTCATCTAGCACCAATGAACTCTTCTTGAAAACATCTTAGCTCATCTTCCTCCTTTTTCTCATAAAAATTCTGAGCCCCTCTCCTGTAATCAGGACACTATTTGGGTTTCTACTTGAATCTGTGCTCCTGAATTGCAATTCTTTCATTCCAAATAAATGATATGCCTTTTGAACTGGTTTCTGTTTTTGTAGGTTGACATTTGTAATAAGCAAAAACTGGAAACAAGTACCATGTTCATCAAGAGTAGAATGGATGAATAAATGTGCTATATCATATAATGGAATACTATGAGGCAGGAGAACAAAAGAACTGCTCACCCACAACCACGTGGACTCATCTCACAAACATAATGTTGCACAAAAGAAGCCAGACACAAAAGGGTGTATGGTGTATGATTCTATTTTTATAAAGTTTACAAACAAGCAAAACTAATGTCTCATCCTTTGGGGAGGAATATGAGAGTAAGGAATATGAGGGGCTTCTAGGATGCAATGTGCTGTTTCTTGACCTGGGTGGTGGTTACATAAATGTTTTCACTTGGTGATAATTCATCCACTTAAGACACTTATGTTTTCTGTATGACTGCACACACACACACACACACACACACACACAAAGGGTTTTCAGCATCTTGGGAAAGGAAAAGTATTTAGGGCTCTAGCTTGTGGGCCATGGTTGTGAAAGGAGAATGACCCTGGGTGGTAGAGGGACAAGGAGAAGAGGCTGACTGCACTGGGGATACGGCTGAAAGGGCAGCTGTGGGGCAGCAGGAACTAGGCAGAACAGTTTCAGGGCTTACTCCCTTCCTTCTTGAAACTGTCAGTGAGATCTCCGCATAATGGACTCCAAAGGGAAGTGGGGCCAAGAGGGAAAAGTGCTAGAACTCCGCTGGCAGGGAGAAGGGAGCGGCTGGAGCATTTCCAGCAGTGAGAGGACAAGGATGGGGGAAGAAGAGGAGAGTGAAAGAAATCATAAGTGCCCAGGGTGGGCAAGGAGAGCTCGCATGGGCTGGGCATGTATGGGGTGGGGGGATTCCCATGACCCAGCAAAGCAGAAGGGTACCCTTCTCGACTCCCTTCCCTGAGCCAACAAGCTCCGACACACACCTGGATTAATGGTTTTACTGCACTGCTCTGCTGTGCTTTGTTTATAAGTCTGTTGCCCCTGGGAACTAAGAGAATAAGCGGAAGCGTGAGTGAGTTGGGGGCGGGGGTGTGTGTGCAGCAAGGATGCCACATCTCCGGTATCCAACACACAGTTTGGCACATAGTTTGCACTGAAAAAAAAAGTGTTCATTGGACAAATAAATGAGAGAACGGAACACGGTAGTTAGACATAAAGGAGAGGCTCTATTCCTCAGTACTTACAAAATCTGTAATAAACAGCTTAAATAACCAAAAATGTGGGCAGGGCTAAGTATCAGCGTGGATATAGCGCAGGACTAAGAACGTCAAGCAACAGACAAGCAACAGTTGCCAACGTGTGCAGGGCGCTGTACCGTTTACTCAGAACTGCACCGCACCCCCGTCTGATACGGGAGAACATGGACTTGGTTGCCACACTGAAACGTGAAGATGACACATTAGCAACAATCTCCCTGAAGAGGCCAGAAAGATCAGGGATGGTGGACCAACAACTTTTTATGGAAAGGGGTGGGGAGCATCCACACCTTAAGTTACACTAGGAGGGCTGGTGGTTCTGGGGGACAGCAGAGAAGTTTAGTTAGCTCTGTTAGCTCTGCAATAACTGTGCTAATTTCGCATACATTTCAATTCACTTTCTCTCTTTATTGCCTTTAGGGAAAAAACTTTACTTTTTGTCATAACCTGATTCAAAGTTCTCTTTAACGATCATTCACAAGCCTCGCTGTTGAGTGAATACCTCTACAGAAGTGTTTTTGATATTTAAAGTGGACTCAGTTCTGTCCCAGTGTGGTTTTTTCATGCTCCTAACCTCAAGAAATCAAATAGCAAAACCTCTCGCTCACGAACTTTTTCTAGGCTGACTTCCTGATTGCAACAATGTTTTAAATAAACCGGGGGGGGGGCGGGGGGGCGGGTGAAAAACCCTTCCTCCTCCCTGAGAGACGCTGGGCCTCATGTCTACTAATCCAGGAAAAACTGAAGTCTCGAAGACTTCTTCCTCTGGTTGTTCCTGTAGAAACTATGTTTGCAGCAGTGTCTGTCCCAACAGGAAATGCTCCGCAGTCGGAATCTTTGCTGAGCGTTTCCGCACTGCTTTGGGTGGACTTCCTGCAAGCACTCAGTGCAATGAGAGGATTACCTAAAGGGTACGCTGCACAAACCGCCATCACGAGTCTTGCAAACTTGAAACACTACATCCGATGCTAAAAGCCTGCTTTTGCAGATGACTGTGGGACCTCTGGAGAACGCCACCACATACCGTTAGACCATCCCCAAACCATCTCTTATTAACATTCCCATGTAAAAAGCAGCTGCTTTTAAAAGTCTCTGGGACGTTGATGACATGAGGCATTGCCACCTTCACAGTAATAGCAGAAATCCTTCTAGCAATGTTGATTTCGCGCCTTCTGTGCGCAAGACATTGTTAGTGCCACATGGGTGGTGAGGGGCTGATGGGGGCGGGGAGCCTGCACGCACCGGCGAAGGGCGGCCTTAAGGGAACTAATCCTGCCCTCGACTCAAACAATTTGAAAGCTGAGTAGCCAAAGCGCCGACGGTGTTCAGAAAAACCCCGGGCAGCCGCCTGGGCGACCTCCCCCGTCCTCCTCCAGGCGCGCAGGGCGCAGGGGCTCCGGAGAGCTGAAGCCCGAGAGCTGAGGCAGATGAGGACAGCAGAGGCCGGGCCTCCGGGGCGGGAAGGCACCCGCGAAGGCGGGAAGGGCCCAGTCCACCAGCGGAGAGAAAGGGGGCGCCGCAGCGCGACCTGCCCCCCCCCGCATCCACGGGCCGCGCCGCCGCCGCCACCCGGAGGATGTGAACAGATCTGGCCCACCTGCAGCCGCCGCCGGGCCGGGTAGCAGGCGCGGGGGACGCGCAGCAGGCCCCGCCTCC